ACATGGAAAGTTTGCCGTTTGAGGCTGAGTTGCTGAGAGTAACAACGAGTGTTTCCCAACTATCAGGAAGGGAACTAAGAAGTAGCAGAGATTGCATTTCATCTCCAAGCGACATCTCAACACAAGATAGCTGATTTACCAGGCTCTGGAACTCACTGGTATGCTCGGCAACAGAAGTTCCACTTTTCAACTTCATATTGACTAAGCACCTCATCAATAAGGCCTTATTCCGAGCGGTTTTGGCTTGGTACATGTCCTCCAGCTTCCTCCAAAGGACATATGCGTCGGTTTCTTATGCAACATGATGGAAGACACTATGATCAATCCATTGTCGGATTTGACCAATAGTTTTTCTGTTGATTTTCTTCCATTCTAATGCCTTGGACGGATCAGGGTTAATACCCTGCAGCTCTATTGGGTCAAAGAGCTCTTTACAGCTGAGGAAATCTTCCATCTGAGGTTTCCACAGCGTATAGTTGGTAGCCGTGAGCATAATCATAGCTCCAGAAGATGAAGTTGACTCTTACATGGCCATTTTACACCTTTAATGATCTGTTTGGGACCAATCGGAGCTGAATTTTGAAAAACAGACAGCACCGTTGCGTCCGGAACAGTTGAAAATGGGGGAGGGGAGGTTTTTTTTTTTTTTTTAAATGCTGACGTGGCAGTCAAACGATGACGTGGCGTTGACTTGCTGATGTGGCAACTGACTGGACTGCTGACCTGGCGATTGACTGGGCTGCTTACGTGGCAGCTGACTAGGCTGCTGACTGAGTGTTCCTTGCTGACGTTGCGATGATGTGTCAGATGACGTGGCGACACGTCATCGTCTTCAACCTCAGATTTTTTATTTATTTTTTTTTTTCAGAACTTCGGAAGGCTTTTCGGGACAGCTCCGGTGTCCGTTTTTCGCCCGTAAGATATCACCGCGACCGTCTCGACGAGACGAATCCAACGGTGTCCTCGGAATTGAATTTCGAACACAAACCAGAAACTCAAATTTCTACAGAAGCTCGGAAAAAAGTCAAAATAAAGCTCGAAAGCTTCAAACCTTGCTCTGATACCACTTGTTGAGGTATCATCCCAAGATCATAAACATAATTTGAGAGAAAAACAAGTTTCTATTACTCACAAGAATAAAAACACAAGAGATTTACAAACTCTAAACAAAAAACTCTCAAACACTCCACAACTCTTTCTTGGTTGTGTTTCAACACTCTCAAGGTTGATCGATCACTCAAGGATGATTTGAATGAATGAAATATGAAGCCTATTTATAGGCAAGAAGTAGCACACCTCCATTGACAACATGTGTGTGAATGAGAAGGGTTGGTGAGGTGTAAAGGGCTAGCCATTGATGAAGTCTTCAAACTTGTTCTTCCATGGTGTGCTTGAATATTTGGTGAAGACTTATGGTTGTTGGGAGATTGTACATTGTTGACTTGTTCATGCATGGAACTTTCATATCAAAATAATATATATATTATATATTATTTTAATTAATCAATATCATTACCAATTGGTACATAAAGACCTTCAACCGGTTGGGTTTAGGCCTGATATGGGTTCCACGTAGTAGATCGTCCTCCAGAATTACAAACACTGACGGAGCTACATGGGGCTCGGGGGGGCCAAGGGTCCCCCTCATTTTTTCTAATCAATATATATATATATATATAAATAAATACTATAAAATATGTGTAATAATACAAAATATTAAAATATATTAATAATTAAAACTTATTAAATATATATATAAAGAAAAATAGTATAACATATATTTAGAAATGTAAAAAATATTTACAATATATAACTAATCAGATCTTTTCTATGTTTTTTTTATTCAATTTAATAATATTATTTATTTTATTCATAAATATACTAACAATCCTTATATTTTAAATTTTAAGATAAGCTTTTGAAAATACTTATAATAATTTATTCTTTTGTTCTCTTAATTGTAAATCGATTTAGTGATTTATAAAATCGAGTATTTATTAATTGGATTGATAGATTTTTTAATCCTGATTTTTTTTACATTTTTTAGTGTAATCGCTTTAACATTTAAAATGCCCCCCCC